CTCTGGGGGGTTCTGTTGCCCAGCTGGGTGGTTCCACTCCAGGGTAAAAACCCGTACAGTCGGGGCCCTGAAGAAGGAACCCTTTCGGTTGGGGAGGGGCTCCGCGTTCCTTAAGTGTTTCACAGTTTGCCTCAGGTTTTCCTTGTGTTTTCGATAGGGAATCGAAGTTTAACTTGTGGGAAAAAGGGGCCTCGTTCCTTATTTAGGGCTCCCTGGGTCAACGCCCCGACTGTGCAGCGTCGGATCGCGTCGTGGTTGGGGCTGTGTTTCGTGCGTCGCGCGGGTTTGGTTGTGCCTCCAGCGCGCCCGGCCCTCGGTCGTCCGCCTGCGATCCTCAGCTCGGGGTGTTGTTGCGGATCTTCTCAGCAGCATCGTGCGCGCGGGCGCACTATTCACGGGCTCGTCTGCTCGCGAAGGTGGCGCCGCATCGCCCGTTGGGGGCAACGTTGCGTGCGAGACGCACTTGCCCTTGGTTTTCGACCAGTATGATTCGACTGCTGCGGCGCCGCGTCCGAGCGATGCCGTCTTGAACGTGCGGCGGCTTTACGGAGAGGGTGCGTTCCCGCAAGGTTGAATGGAGATGTGTCTTTTTTGCTTTATCCGGATGGGTGTGCCCGTGCCCAGAAAAACAGGTAGAGTTGTGATCTGTCCGTGACCACGTGTATCAAAGTCTTGACAGGTGCATGCTGCAAGTGGCGGAGCGCTCAGAAATAGCACGATTTTGGCGATTCACAATTTGTGTGTTTAGCTTTATCCGCATGAGGGTATTGCACTTGCCCCACGAATTGTTCGACTTATCGTGCGCTCTTGAGAGCCGTCATCTTTTAAAGGTGTTCCACAAGTGGTGCAGCGTTCCGTGACCTGATGCATACCTACGGAAAGCTGCGCTTTGCCTGCGGATCACGCAGTTTGCCGTGAACCTTTCGTCTCGGAAGACACGTCCTTCTGACGCAGTCCCCGATGTTTTCAGGATGGCGCTCCAGGAGGTGAGGCGGCGCACGTCGCTCCCCTTACAGGATGCTGTTCGGTTGCTATGCGTGGGTCTCCTAATTTGAGTTTCTGCTACGTTCTTGGGGCCATTGGAGACGGAGTCGCGCGTAATCATGGGCGTGCGGGCGGTATTGGCAATGTGCAAACGGGTTGTAATTGATTTGTAATTTTGATTATTCGGCCTGTTGCGTTGATGCTGTCAAGGACTTCCTCGACGTGGGCGAGTTCCTCCTCGGTGGCGGCTTTTCCGTGCCGCTGCGACAGGAAGCAGCGGTTCTCGGGGATAGACAGCGCGACATTGGCTACCGCGCCCCCGACTGCGGGCAGCGCGAGCTCCAGGATCTATTCAATAATGCCGACGCTCATAATCTTGACGTATTCGCCGCCCTCCTAACCATCCCAACCCAACCCGAAGGCCCCGATATGCCTTTAATTTCCAGTGTGTGGGGGAAGCGCTGGGGAACATCGGAGAAACAAATGTGTGGCCCGTGCCGCCCCAACCCGACATTGAGGTCTTCGGGTTGGATTGTTGGATTGGGGAGGCCTGGTAGGTAGTCGCGTGGGGTGCATGCGTAACGTGTGTGAGGAGGATGAGGCGCGGGAGTTGTCGTCTGTTGCAACTGCGTCTCGTAGCGCGTTGCTTCGCCGGCGCTGGCGGCGGCCGGCGGCTTCGCGAAAGATGCGGGTGGGCGTTGCGCGGGATGAGTGGAATAGGCATAGCAGCGCGTGGGCTCTCTAGGGCAACGCGGCCTGGCCCCGCAGACCGCGGGTCCAACTTGCGCGCAGGTCAGACTTGCCGCGGCGCGTGGGTGGGGGGCCGTCCGCGAGGGGGACCGCGATGCTTTGCGTGAGTGTAATGCCGCGAACGACGCGGAGCTCGAGAGGGGGCGGGGTGCCGACCGTGCCGAGGCCGCCCTGGTCTTGCAGCCAATTACGCCGCGCCCAATGGCTGACTGAATTCAGATCGTGGAAACGAGGGGGTTCAGGCCGATGTTTCGATCCGGGCAGCTAGCCCCAGCCGGCGCTCCATCTCTCGCCGCTTGGTCGCTGCCGAGGCGCTACCTGGGCGTCCGCGGATCTTCCTGTAGCCGTTCTCCGTCCTCCTCCCGATGTGGCCGCGCAAGATCATTCGCGCGGGAGCGGGCGTGTTTGCCGCGAGGCGCGGGCCGCGGCGCGACGCTTGATTTGCGTTGCACGCAGCCGCGCTGCGATGGCAGCCCCGGGGGCGCAACAAGGAGAAGAAGGAGGGGCCCGAAGCGGCGCGTCGATTACGCGCGGGCGTTTTTCTCTAAGGGGTTTCGCGGCCTCTGAGAGAGCAGGTGTCCGACGTGGCCCTGCATGGGGACTGCGAAGTTTTCCCGCGTGGATGCCGTTGGCGTTTCGATTGCCGGGCTCTCTGCCGCGCGCGCGCTCGACGGCCCCGTCGAACTCCTCGCGCCCGTTCCGCGGGGGTGCTCGCGTGGGCGTAAGGGCGACTCGGAGGTTGGGTGCGCCGACGAGGGCGACGCAGGCGCGGAAGAGCTTACAGTCGATGCGTGCGCCGAGGGGTGTGCTGCGCCGTCTGAGTGGAGATTCGCGGTCTCGGACTCGGAGTCCGCGGTCTCGGACTTGGAGTTCTGACGTGGAAGCTGTCGCCCAGGAAGGGCGGGCCGCCGCTGGGCCCGCGGCTGACCCCGTGCTGCCCGAGGGGCCGCGCGCATCTGACGACGGGGGGGTGCTGCGAGGGTGCCTCGTGGCACTGGCGCGGCTCGTGAGCGTGCCAGCTGTATTTTACGACGACGAAGTCCCGAAATGCTCGACGTCGAAGTCGCCGTTCGTCGGGGGCGGCGAAAGATCCGCGATTTCGGTGGCGCGAACTAGCATCCAGTGCCGACCTCGTGACTTCGGTGCGTCCGCTGAGGCCCCCAAGTTGACTCGCGTGGTTGCGGTCTCGGACGTTGCGGCGCTCCGCGGCGGATGGGCAGCGCCGGCGCGAAGTTTGGGCGTGCTGCGTGGTGGCGGGCGGAGGGGGGCCGGCCTGGGCGAGGGGCCGCGGACCCCCGGGCGGCTTGAGGTCGGGCGGGCGACGCCGAAGCTGATGCGAGGGCGAGAGTGCGCGCCCCATCCGCGCGGCGATAAGCCGGGGCGCCCCCGCGGAAAACACAACCGCGAAGAAGGGGGGGGCGAGGGGGGCGGGGGGGGTGGAGGGGGGGGCGATTGTGATGAGAGGCTCTCATCACAATCTTCCAGGCCAAAAGCTCGTGCTTGGCCAAAAGCTCGTGCTCGTGAGGGAGATTGTGATTGGAGTGCGCTTCGTGCTTCCAGGTCAAAAGCTCGAGTCCGCGACGCCCGTTGGCGTCGCGATGATGCCGCCCCGATCTGCCAGACCGCATGTGCACAGATACGCAAAATATGTGTTGCAACGTTTGTTTCATGACCCTCTCTATAGTAACAGACCCACGTTGGAACCCAAATGAGAGCTCGGAGTGCGGGCCCCCCCTGCTCTTCGACCTCCTCCTCCGCCGACACGGGTGGCCTGTCCTGCGTTGGCCAGGTGATTTCAAATGACCCGCCGTCAAGAGCATTGGTGGGCCCATGCCTGGAAATTGCGAGAAATTGCGAGAACGGGAGCAGTGGCGCTGTCATCGTCCCTTGCGTCGTTGCAACGGTGCTTTTTCAAGGCCCGCCCGGGCGCTCTTCGCGCCTCCAATGGGGCCGGCTTTTTCAGCCAGGCGGCGTTTTTTTTTTTTTTTTGGGGGGGGGGGGGTCTCTCCCTCTCTCTCTCTTTGTTCTTCTTCTTCCTCTCTCTCTCTCTCTCCCTCTCTCTCTCTCTCGGTCTCCCCCCTCTTTTTTTGTTTCCTCTTCCCTCTCTCTCTCTCTCTTCTCTCTCTCTCTCTCTCTTCTCTCTCTCTCTCTTTCTCTCTCTCTCTCTCTTCTCTCTCTTCTCTCTCTCCTCTCTCTCTCTCTCGCCCTCTCTCTCTCTCTCTTTCTCTCTCTCTCTCTCTCTTCTCTCTCTTCTTCTCTCTCTTCTTCTCTCTCTTCTCTCTCTCTTCT